GGGCCCTCTGCTTCCAAAACAAACTTTTTTTCCCCTAGAAAAGCAAAAGGAAAAATAGTAATGGTACAAAAAGAAATCCCTATAGTTGGCCAAAATTTTTTTAAAACTCAAGACAATCTACCTGCAAACTGACCTGGCAATAAAAAAAAGGATAAACACACAACTAGTGAAATGAAGAGCCAGAGAGTAAACTCCATGTTTGTTTATCACATTTACCTTAGTGCTATTTTCTCTTTTGACACAGGTGGATACCAGCTTACAATAGCATCTTCCCCCAGAGAAGAGGATACAGCAAAAATGAGAAGTTGTCGCTCACTGATATTGCAGGCAGGATAAAGCAGGGTCTCTACAAGCGTATTGTAGTGATGGTGGGTGCTGGTATCAGCACTGACAGTGGGATCCCGGATTTCAGGTGATTGCACCTTACACTAACCCACCCCTATATGTAACAGTATCTTTACTTTATGACATGCTCATTGGTAGCTTTGTACTTCAGTATGTCATTATCTATTTGTAAGCTCCAGTGACTCAGCTGGATGTACAGTTCATTATATATGAAAAAAGTTTAATTATATATATATATATATATTTATTAGGGATGTCCCGATACCAATATTAGTACTCGTACAAGTACTCGTCGTGAAAATGCCCTGTACTAAAGGTCGACACTGGTCCTCTAAATATTTCCTGGGAACCTCAGGCAGCCTGCTGAGGACCTCACAGTAGCTGTCTTTGACCTGCCCCACATCTCCTCCTCCTCTTTCCTGGAGCCCACAGAGACAGGCACAGAAAGGGACAGCCCCACACTGCCCGTACAGTCCTGGAGCCCAGCACGAGCCCAGAGCCCACCCGTTCAGCACTGGAGAGCCTGGCACCCACCTGCAGAGCCCTAGAGAGTGTAGTACCCACTCTCAAAGCCCTGGAGAGCCTGACAACCGTCCGGAGAGCCCGGCACCCACATAAAGCCCTGGTGAGATCCAAACCCAGCCACATGTATAAAAATGTCACATGTTCCTTTAAGAAAAAGTATCGGTAATTGGTATCGGCAACTACCTAAGGGAAAGTACTTGTACTTGGTTTTGAAAAATGGCACCTTTTCAGACTGGGCTAGTGTAATGAGCGGTGTGCCTCAGGGTTCTGTGCTGGGTCCCATATTGTTCAACTTATTTATTAATGACATCGGGGAGCGTGTTAACAGCGATATTTCCGTGTTTGCGGATGACACCAAAATTGGGAGGGTAATAGACACGGACTTAGACATTATAACATTACAGGAGGACCTGGATAAAATAGGGGAGTGGGCATTAATGTGGCAGATGAGGTTTAATGTCGATAAATGCAAAGTAATGCACTTTGGAATTAAAAATAAACAAATGGGTTTTACAATTATGGGGGTGCCGCTAGGGAAGTCAGAAATGGAGAAGGATTTGGGGGTCCTTGTAGACCACAAACTGAAAGGTAGCTTGCAGTGCCAGGCTGCTGTAAACAAAGCTAGCAGGGTTTTGTCCTGTATTAAAAAGGGGATGTATTGCAGGGACAAGTCTATAAATTTGCCACTTTATAGATCATTGGTT